AAACAAAGGATTTTCCTATAAAGATTGGACTACATCAGGGATCATCTCTGAGTCCTTATTTGTTCAACTTGATTTTAAATGTTTTGACGGAACATATTCAAGAGGAAATCCCGAAATGTATGCTCTTCGCGGATGATATAGTTCTTATAGCAGAGACAAGAGAAGCGGTTAATTGCAAACTTGAGTTATGGAGGAGGACATTGGAGTCGAAAAGTTTTCGTCTGAATAGAAGTAAGACGGAATATTTATATTGTAAATTTGGTAAAGGACTATTCGAAAATAATTTGAAAGTGAAATTGGGAGATCAAATTATACCTCAAGTGGAAAAGTTTAGATATTTGGGAACCATTATTCAAAATGATGGCGAAATCAGTGGAGATATTTCACATAAAATTCAAGCTGGGTGGTTTAATTGGAGAAAAGCTAAAGGAGTTATTTATGACCGTAAGGTGCCTAATAAACTTAAAGGAAAGTTTTATCGTACTGCTATTAGACCGGCAATATTATATAGTAGTGAATGCTGGGCTCTAACGGGACAGCAAGAGCATAAAGTTGGAGTAGCAGAGATGAGAATGTTACGATGGATGTGCGGACATACACGTAAAGATAAAATTCGAAATGAGCACATACGCGAAAAAGTGAGGGTGGCACCTATTGAGGAAAAAATGGTAGAAAATCGGTTGAGATGGTTTGGGCATGTACAAAGAAGATCAAGGGAGGCACCAGTGAGAAGAGTGGAACATATAACTTTGAGTCCGATTAAGAGAGGTAGAGGAAGGCCTAAGAGAACACTCTTGGAAGTTGTTGAACGTGATCTCTTAATTAATAATATTTCTAAAAGCTTGATAAATGATAGAGCACAATGGCGTCTTGCAATCCATGTAGCCGACCCCACCTAGTGGGATAAAGGCTTGTTGTTGTTATTGTTGTTGTAGACACTTTTACCCTTGTCTTGAAAAATGGAATAGATCGATAATTGTATATTTTTCCTACTACCATCATGATATTAGTTATGATATTATTGGAGCTAAAACTAGAAATTATTGTGTTTTTATGTGAGTTCAACTAAATAACAAACTTTTATTGGTATATGGGATTCAGTTAAAAACACCTTATATATAAGGATGAAGGAAGTACCTATTAAACTTTTGAGCCCAAATATTTTATTTAGCTTAGAAGTGAAAAATATCAAGAGTAGGGGATACAAAGTTCAAAATTTACATATCATACTTGTGAATTTTCCCAAATGCACCCTCTCAAGACAACATGCCACTGATTGGGTTTAGTAGTAGAAGTTAATCTTTCACAAGGTGGTGATTCAAGATAAAGCAGAGATGTTCAAATTTAGTACTTGGTTGTATCTCGAATATGATTGTTTTTAATAAGAAACACATGTTCACAATGAAAAGAATAATAATACTCTTTATCCCTCTAGTTTTATTAGAGGACCAGTTACTATGTCCCTCGACTTTGCTTCCCGAGACACTTTGGTCCCTATATTAATCAGAGCAATCTTGTGACTTGTCTCTTAAATTATTTAAAAAAATGGCATTATGAGGTAGTTTAAATTGTTTCTTCTTCATGGAATGCAGGTATTGCACAGGGCAATGAAAGGCTTGGGGACTAATGATTCCACACTTATAAGGGTGATAGTGACAAGGACTGAGATTGATATGCAGTATATAAAAGCTGAGTATTTGAAGAAATATAAGAAGACGTTGAATGATTCTGTTCACTCGGAAACATCCGGCCACTATAGGACTTTTCTTCTTGCACTTTTGGGTCCTAACCAATAGCATGGTTAAGATGATCATGACTCGCCAATGACGCGATGCCATATCAGCATGAAAATCCTTTCGATTAAGGGAAGGTTGCGTGTTTGATTTGTGGGTGGGGGAGTGTCTGAGTGTGGAATTGTAGTTGTTCTTGAAAGGGACGGGGGTTTGTTATTAAGTGCATAGTATTGTGTGGAATAAACTTTGTTTAGCCTCTTCCCGCACTCAGAAGTTTTTCTTTCCTTACAAGAAGATTTTGTTTTTATAAAACATAATTTAGGTGAGTTGGTCCTGAATTTCATTAAGGATTGTGCTTGGCAAAAATACTAAACTTAAACTCATATAAATAGGCCGTGTTTATTCAATCAAAATCTAGCTTAACCTAACTTATTTTTACTCAACAAATGAGGATGGGACCAAGCCACCGGATCTGTGTCTGCATCAATTAGCCATCAAAGAGAGTCCAACAAAAACGTGTAATATGACTTTCAATTCCTAGTCTTTGTTTATGTTTCAAGGCCAAAACGTGTTTGGAGGATATTCTATGGTTAGACCATATAAAAATGAATCTCATGTTTGGAAAAGTATTGTGGAAGCCTGGGATGTGTTTATAAAGGGGGTTAAAAGGAAAATAGGTAATGGTCACAGAGTAAACTTTTGGTGAGATAACTGGATGGGAAGGAACAAACCTTTGATTTATTTGGTAACCACAAATGACAGATTCCTAAATCGTAAGGCCAGTCCTGCTAATTTTATCACGCAGGAAGGACAATAGGATCGGGAAAATTGGTGTAATGTGCTACCTGCTTGGGTTATTAATGAAATTTTGAAATAGCAGGTTCCAACAGGGAGTAGCGATGACATATTCAGCAGGCGCTATGCTTCAGATGGTAAATTCTCGATTAGATCTGCCCATGAGTATCTAGGAAGCCAGGTTACAGGTGAGTCTAATCTTTTTTTGGGGTAAACTTTGGAAATGGAAAATTCATGAAAAATAAAAAATTTTCCTTTGGCAAACCAGAGAGAGAGAATTATGACTAACTACTACATAGCAAAAAGAGGCCTCACCCTGAATGATAAATGCCCTTTTGAATGTAATAAAAGTGAGAGTGTGATACACCTATTGAGATATTGTAAAAATGCCCGGGAGGTCTGGTGTTCATGCATTAATCCTGATCTTGCACAAAAGTCTTTTGGTTTATCTTTGCATGACTGAATGCAGTAGAATGCTAAGAACGAAGCTGCTGCCATTGAAGCGGTGGCCTTGGCACAAGGTCTTCAGTTATATCTGCTGGAATCTTTGGAATGCATGGTGCAAGTCTGTCTTCCTAGATAAAGTATCTACTGTTGCAGGAATTATTCATAGAAGTAAATATGGACTAATGGAAGATGAAGAGGCTCGGAATCATAGACAAAGAATCTACTGTCTTGACACACAAAGCCAAGATTCGTGGAAAGCACCAACCCAAGACTATCTTCTTTTTGATACAGATGGCTCGGTTGACTCACAGGGTCATGCAGCTTGTGCTGGGGTAGTATGGAACTTTCAAGGAGAATGGATCCTAGAATTTCAACAACGCCCTGGGAGTGGGTTCCTCTACTGAAGCTGAATTGGAAGGACTTAAAATAGCACTGGAAATATGTCAACAAAGAAGACTTCGCAAAGTCAAAGCACACACGGACTCATTGGAGGGCTTTCACCTGATTATGGGAGAAAGTGACTCAAGACACCACTTTTGGCCACTTGTTCATCAAATACGGGACTATCTATGTCAAGTAGAAGAGGTGGAGATCATTTTCAAAGGAAGAAATTCAATTTGCTGTGCTGACAATGTTGGCTAGGGATGCACACAATGTAGTACAGGGCTTTTGACTCCTCTCAGAAGTGCCAATTGATTTGCCAGGATATTTATGATAGATATACGAGTTCATGCTCTAGTACCTAGGTTGTATTATCTCAAGCCTCAGCTTGCTACTGTTAAGGGGGAAATGGCCAAAGCGACAAAATTCAAGACTCTCTGTTTATTCAAGTCATTTTTTTATTCAGACTTGGGGGCTATTTTTGTTGGATTTAGGAAAGTTTAAATGAGTTAGGTTTTAGAGTCTCATCAAATTTAACACATATCTCCAAGCCCCAATGACATTTACAAAGATATTTACTTTTTTTGTTAAAAAAATATAAGATATTTTTAATTAAATTTCACATGTTAATAAAATAGTTATTTATTTTTAAATTAACATTATCTTTTCATATATACTCATATTTAATAGAGTATTTTATTTTAAAATAAATATAGAGTGATTTATTCATTAGATATACTTTTGAAGAAAAAAATAATGAGTATACTTTAAAATACTAAAAACACTTTATATTTTTTAATGGAGTGAGCGTAAATTATCTATAATAAAGTTCTCACATCAACAACAATATTTAATTGTTTGATTTTTTTTTAATTATGTATCAAATTCTTATCAACTAACCAATCTTTATTGGTGGTGTGGTCTAATATTTAGCAATTAACACCATGATCAAAAGAAAAAATCAACATATCAATAATCAATTTGTCGTGATCTATTATGCCAAATGGGTTGACTTCAATGTTTTGAGAATAAGAAAAATCTATTTGAAATAAATTATAGTATGAACATAATTTTTAAAAACAACATAAATTATGAAGATCAAACTAATCACTTGTTTTTTTAGGTACACCTAATAGATTCTTTTAGAGTACCTAACTTCATGATGACTTGATCTAATCTTAAAGCTCCATATAAAATACTCTCCGGTTCTATTTATTTCAAAATTTATTAATTCTATTAAAAAATTTAATAAATTTTTAACTATGTTTTTATTAAAACTTACATATTTTAATAACTTATTTTCTTTTAGTAATATTTAAACAAAGAAAAAAATTTATATTAAAAATTTAATAATATGACTTATAATAAGATGAAAAAATTATTTAATAAGAATGCATCGTTTTCAAGATGGGTGGTTTGCGTTCCTTGCCGTCTTCGTTTTGGTGAAATTTTCAATTTCAAAGTAAACCGTTGCATTTGAATAATTAGGAAAAGTTTTTTTGCCAAAAAAAAAATATAATTACGAAAAGTTTATAGATTTTTTTAATAAAAAAATGATAACTTGCTAAGCACAATTTTATAAAAATATTGCTGTGTTGCTTTTTTAATGGACCCCTGCGTTACTTATTTAAATTGTGCTGGCCAATAAATAAATTATATGAACACAACGCTTTCGATTCCATTGCAGCTTCGTTGAGAAGACAATCAAGACGTTGATTACGAAGTCAGAAATATCTCCGTAATACTGCAAGAAATTGGTTTCGCAGAGAAAGATGTCTACGTTGGTTGTACCCCCAGCTCCTCCTTCCCCAAGAGATGATGCTATACAGCTTTACCGCGCTTTCAAGGGTACCTTCTCACTCTCTCTGTCTCGATTTCTCTCCACGTTTTTTTTCTTGTTCAATTTGTTCGTGACAGTGTAATGAATATCCTGCTTGAGGAATAAGAACGATTCCCATTTTTAACTTCAAATTTGTTGGTCGTGTATTTTAACTGATCATTCTCAAGTCAGGTTCAATATTTTTGTGCACAGCATGATTGTGGGTAATTCTGGAAGAACCTGGACGCCTAGGATTAAGGGAGGTCAAATTGGGCACCTTTGCATTAATTATTAAGCCGTCAATTTTCGCTTTTTGAATTGAGTGATGTTGATCTTGTATAACAATTCTGGTGAGATTCTTCAAGCATAATATGATCGGTGTAAATTTCCCAGAACTAGTATGAATATTTTGGGGAACTTATTCTAAAATGAGGGTTTGTTGAGATATTCTTAATACCTTCCTTATTTTACATGCTTGGGATCATAATAAGGTGACTGGATAACAAGCCCTAACAACAGAGTCTGTGATTGGAGCTCAGCTCGGCCGAGAACATTTCGGACATTTTCAAAACTAGATGTTGGTAGCTACCAGACAACTACCAAGATTTCATTTTCTTTGTAGAGTGTGTTCAATTTGCCTTCCTCTTCCAATGTGTGTACTGTAGTTTCTAAGTGGATTTTGTCTTCGTATATTGGAGCTGCTCTTGAAGAGTCCATTCCTCTAGACTTTCTCTATTTTGAAAAGGACTAATTTGACGCAATTTGAAAGTTAAAGGACCAAATTGAATCCCAAGAAATATTAAGGGATCATAGTAAAACAAATAAATAAGGACCAAAATGATAAGAAAACCATTATTAACATCTGTTTTGCCTTACATTAGGAGGGTTTGAAGCCAGGCTACCCACATTTTATTCCATCTTTACTAATCTATTTCATAAATTCTTTGCATTTACAGGATTTGGATGTGATACTAGTGCTGTCATTAATATACTTGCTCACCGTGATGCTACGCAACGTTCCTACATACAACATGAGTACAGAGCTATGTATTCTGAGGATCTTCTTAAACGCTTATCTTCTGAGCTTAGTGGCAAGCTAGAGGTATTAATTAATATTAATTTGAAATCCGTTGTGGTGTGTCATATAATAATCTTTCTTTTGTATTTAGTAAATATTAATTATTATTATTATTATTATTTCATTTTTCTGATTTTCAGAATGCAGTTCTGCTCTGGATGCATGACCCTGCTGGACGTGATGCTGTAATCCTTAGGCAGACACTGGTTGCAGATAAAAGCCTTGAAGCTGCTACCGAAGTGATATGTTCACGAACTCCATCCCAGCTACAATATTTAAAACAGATATATCATTCTAAGTTTGGAGTTTTTCTTGAACATGACATTGAAAGGAATACATCTGGAGATCATAAAAAGGTAAGGTTTCTCTTTGTCCTTGTGTGTGTATGGCTCTTAGGAAAGCTTCCTTAGCCATTCCAAAATAGTCACACTGAATGTGCTCCATTGGCCCAAAAATTCATAATTTTCCTTGCTTCTTAATTTCCAGTTATTTATTTTGACCTGTGAGTTGAACGGTTCTGGTTGATTTGTCTCTTCGAGGTTGAATTGCATTATGCGATTTCAGATGGCTTTGAAATTATACTTTTGCATGAGTAGGAAGAATGATGGGCTTAAAATTTCAAGTACTATATTGTTTTGCCTCTTCCAGGATAGTTCTATTCCATTTTTTTTTTTAATTGGCTCAGTTGCAGTAAAAATCTTTGAATTTACTTTCCTTGTGGTCATTATCTGCTCAATAAAATCTCGCCGGATTTTTTTTTAAGCAGTGACTTTTTGAAGATATAAGAACGATAGAGCAGCTATTGCTGCTACTTTTTGTTTGAAAGTTGCCCCAGATCTTCATCGCATGTTGCTATTGCTAATACTTTTCGTTTACAAATTGAGTCAGATCTTGCTTGCATATATAAGCTCTCCTCGACTTGAAGGCCCTGAAGTTAATAGAGAGATGGCTGAGAAGGATGCAAAGGTTCTCTACAAGGCAGGGGAGAAGAAATTAGGAACTGATGAGAAGACTTTCATTCAAATTTTCAGTGAAAGAAGTGCAGCACAGTTGAATGCCATAAGTTCTTATTACCATGATATGTATGGACACTCACTGAAGAAGGTATCTTTTACATGATCACTTTTGAATTCTATCTTCTTGAAAATGTTGTTCTTGTGCTTAACTACATTGCACCCATATCAGGCAGTAAAGAACGAAACCTCGGGGAATTTTGGTTATGCACTTTTGACAATAGTTCGATGTGCACAGAATACAGCAAAGTATTTTGCGAAGGTATTACCTTGCACTTCAAAGTTACGGATTTACTTCTTATAGCAGTATAATTAATTTTTTGAATTACCAAACGTGGCAGTGACCACAGCTTGGCTATGCTTTACCATGACCAATTCAATGGCAGCTACTATTGCAGTATCATTTAATAACAATGAAACAACAATTTTTTCTATTCAATCGCAAGCTTTAATGTCATACTGAGGATGGAGGGTGCAATAACTGGTGCAAATTTTGATGGTACAAGTTATCCTTGCATGCCCTATTTCTATATCTGATAGAAAATATGGCAAATGTTATTTTAGAAAGAAATAATTGTTTTTGCATTATTTAGTATTTTGTAAGTTTCATTCTAAAGGAAGGAAACCTGACCTGCTTTTGTTTGTTCTACTCTTTATTTAAATCTGCAAGTTGAGCTTTCCTTATAGGGAAGGAAACCTCAAACTTATATTTTATTTCATTTTATGTTTCCTTCATAAGATAAAGTTGGAGTAGCAGAGATGAGAATGTTACGATGGATGTGCGGACATACACGTAAAGATAAAATTCGAAATGAGCACATACGCGAAAAAGTGAGGGTGGCACCTATTGAGGAAAAAATGGTAGAAAATCGGTTGAGATGGTTTGGGCATGTACAAAGAAGACCAAGGGAGGCACCAGTGAGAAGAGTGGAACATATAACTTTGAGTCCGATTAAGAGAGGTAGAGGAAGGCCTAAGAGAACACTCTTGGAAGTTGTTGAACGTGATCTCTTAATTAATAATATTTCTAAAAGCTTAATAAATGATAGAGCACAATGGCGTCTTGCAATCCATGTAGCCGACCCCACCTAGTGGGATAAAGGCTTGTTGTTGTTGTTGTTGTATGTTTCCTTCATAAGAAGGAAACCTTAATTGTGGCTTCTATAAAAAGCCACCATGCAGCACATGTAAGGGAGTTCTAAGAGTTGGAATGAATTGCTGTTCTATTCCCCTATCTATCAGTTCTGCGTCCCTCTCCACTTCCCCTGCTTTCTCTGTTTTCTGTCATCTCTCCCCTCTGTTTTCCCTCCCCCTTCACCTCTCACTCTCTGATTCTGTTTCTTTTCCTCATCCTATTCTGTTCAAATCAATGTGAGTGTGTGTGTTTTACATCAACTTGGTACCAGAGCCTGGTTCTGAACGTTCCTAGGCTGTTTCCGCGGCCGGAGATCGAAGGAAAACTCTCAGGGGAGCTCAGCATACTCTGTTCACGCTGCCAGCACCCAGAATCACATTTCCCGACGTCAGATCCAAAAACGGACGCTACCATCGTGCTCAGAAGGGAAAATCCGGTCACACGCGCCGTCACGCGCCGGTGGAGCTTCTGCGCGTGGTCTTCACTCGCCTCACGCGCCGCCACACGCGCCGTCCGTACAGTCGCCGCCAGAACGTGATTTCAGTGTTTTCTGTGTGTTTTCGCGGAATTTGTTCAACTTTGAAGGAGCTGAGGGGCGCAATCATCATCTAAAACTTATTTGGGGGTAAAACTTTTTTGTTTTGAGCTCCTAAAGCAACGCTGGTAAGGCCGACGACCCTTTCATTTAACTGGCTTACTTGGTTCTTAAAGGGAGGTGTTTCATTCATAGCTAGTTCTGAAATCTTTGTTGTGTGGTACTTTGGTTTCTTTGAGCATTGCAATTTTTATTTTATTTTTATTTTTTTTAATCATGTTTTAATATTTTGAAAATATATAAATATATATATAAAAAAAAAAGAAAAATTTACATTGATCATTATGTTGTTAATTTGTGACTTTTGATAGCAGTGTTCGTATAACCTAAGACACCTACCTCACACACAATCCTGCCCTATACTCGTGTCCAAAAATTACCCTAGATTAATTGAAGTTTCTAACGGTTTTCCTGAAAGGTTTTTGAACCTTCGGAGATTTCTGTGAAGAATTCACTCGAGTTGTTACCTATTTAGCATACGATCCCTGTGGCATTTTTGAATTCTCAGAGGGTTAGTGTTGTTAAAGAAGGGACTTCACCTATTTAGTAAGGGCAACTTGGGGGCCTTTCTTCCTTAGGTTATTAAATCCACACCAAACTTGCACTTTACCATACCATCTTTGTCATTGTATGACCATTCGTGATTTATACGATAAGCAAGCTTTATTAGACCAAGAAATTACTGCCCTAAAATCTGTCATGGCTAATAACTCCCAAATCACCCAAAATCATCTTGAGGAATCTGAAAGGACTCAAAGGGCATATGTGGACCAGCGGCTAGATGAAATTAAAGAATTCATGGACAATAAATTTAAAGAGATAATGGGTGCAATTCAGTTGACATACAGACAAGATACAGGGAAAACAACTGAAGGGATACTCGAAAGACCTATCATTAGAGGAGAGTCAAGTCTTAAAAATGAACAATTCCCAGTCCACAATCAACTTAGAGGTAATTCCCTTAGGATTGGTCATTCCTCTAGAGCTATGGGTGAAAGACACAGTAGAACATTTCCTCATGAGTTTACCAATCATCATTCTGATGACATAGATGATACTTGGGATGGGCAAGGGCCTGAAGAACAACATCATAGACCATACCAGTTAGTCCATAGGAATGGTAGAGAAGGCTTTAGAAGGACACATATTGATGACATCACCAAAAAGGTTAAAGTTGAAGCTCCTGAGTTTGATGGACGATTGAATCCTAGTGCATTCCTGGATTGGTTAGCTAGCATGGAAGACTATTTTGAATGGTATGACATGAGAGATATTCAGCGAGTTCGGTTTACGAAGATGAAGCTCGTGGGATCTGCTAGGAAATATTGGCAAAATGTCCAAAGGAACATTGAGCGACAAGGTTATCCACCGATTGAGACGTGGGATGAAATGAAGGCCAAGCTGAAAGAAAAATATGTGCCGACTCATTATAAGAGTCAACTGTATGACAAATACCTTAATTTGAGGCAAATCTCCACAGCTTCCGAGTATATTTCTCAATTCGATGACCTTATGATTAGATGTGACGTGGATGAAGAGGAATGGCGCATCATTACCAAGTTTGTTAATGGTCTCAAGCCATATCTACAGAAGGAGCTCAAGTTAAACTTTCCAGAGTCTCTTGAAGAAGCTTATCATAAGACTTTAGAAGTAGAGTCTCTGTCACAGTACTCGTCTGCAAAGCGTATCGACATGCAGAGCAATCTGTTTAGACAAGCACGAACTTCCAGTATGTCTGAACGACCAACAGAACACTTACATCTAGGCCTAGCTCGTCTTTTACACCTACTCAAGCAATTGGGTTAAGGGGTAATACTTCTAAGCAGCCTAGTGAGGCTATAGTTCCTGCTTCCCGCCATAACAATTCCTTTGTCGAGTGTTTTCGCTGTCACTCAAAGGGTCATATTGCGTCAAAATGCCCACAGCGTACTCTAGTTATTGACTCACAATATGAAGGTGAGGAAGACAATGCAAATGCTGACGTTGTCGTAGATCCAGTTGAGTGTCCTTCAGATGTCGATGAGGACATCATCATTGATGAACATGGGTGTGAGACACGTCGAGTTGGAGTTATGCGATGCATTCTATCTGTCCCTCTGCCTAGTGATTCGTGGAAGCGAACAAGTATTTTCCATACTTTTGTGAAGTGTGGAGATAAAGCTTGCAAATTGGTGATTGATGGAGGGAGTTCTAGAAACGTTATTTCTAGTCAAGGAGTAGCCCGACTCAATCTCAAGACAGAACCTCACCCAGAACCTTTTCGTGTTGCATGGGTCGACAAAACTTCTTTACCAGTCACGCAACAATGTCGCGTTCCTCTTCACTTAGGTGACTATAAAGAAGAGATTATTTGTGATGTTCTTCCAATGGATGTTGCTCACATTTTACTTGGCCGACCGTGGCTTTATGACCACAATGTTATCAATCATGGTCGTGAGAATACCTATACATTTAAGCATGGAGGCAAGACGATCCTGTTACGTCCTGCTAAGCCTGACAACGAAGGCAAAGGCTCAAGTAAATCAAAGGGCACAAAACCCAAAACCCACAATTTGCATCTTCTGACAGAAAAACAATTTGTACAAGAAAGCAGAGAGAGTACGATCGTGTTTATTTTGGTATCCAAGATCTCGCAACGAATTGCTACTACTTCAAAAATGCCAGAGGAAGTGCAACAGCTCTTACAACAATTTCGGGATATCACTCCCGATGAGCTTCCATCTGAATTACCACCAATGAGAGAGATCCAACATGCAATTGATTTCATTCCAGGTTCACAACTCCCCAATCTACCGCACTACAGGATGAACCCTAAAGATAGAGCAGAGCTTAACCGACAAGTCAGTGGATTGTTGGAAAAGGGTTATATCCAGCATAGTATGAGTCCTTGTGCAGTACCTGCTCTTTTAACCCCAAAGAAAGACGGCTCTTGGAGAATGTGTGTAGACAGCAGAGCCATCAACAAGATCACCATCAAGTATAGGTTTCCCATTCCTAGACTTGATGACATGCTTGATTTAGTGTCTGGATCTAGCTGGTTTTCAAAGATTGACCTCAGAAGTGGTTATCATCAGATCAGGATTAGGCCTGGAGATGAGTGGAAGACTGCTTTTAAAACGCAAGATGGGTTGTTTGAATGGCTTGTCATGCCTTTTGGGTTATCAAATGCACCAAGTACATTTATGAGAGTAATGACTCACCTCCTTCGCTCTTACTTGGGAAAGTTTTTGGTGGTATACTTTGATGACATACTAGTTTTTAGCAAGTCAAGAGAAGAACACTTGGGACATCTCGAGTTAATTTTTCTCACCTTGCGTCAAGAACAGTTTTATGTTAACTTGCCTAAGTGTTCATTTCTTCAAAATCAAGTCATCTTCTTAGGTTTCATAGTTTCTGAAAGGGGTTTAGCAGCTGACCCTGAGAAAGTCCAAGCCATTCAAGAATGGCCTGAGCCACAATCTCTTCATGAAGTACGGAGTTTTCATGGCCTTGCTTCTTTCTATAGACGCTTCATTAGAAACTTCAGTACCATTATGGCTCCTATCACTGATTGCTTAAAACAAGACAAGTTTCAGTGGACATCTACAGCTTCCATGGCTTTTCAAGATATTAAGAAGAAGCTTTCTCAAGCTCCAGTCTTGTCTTTACCTGATTTTACAAAGTGTTTCGAAGTTGCTTGTGATGCGTCTGGGACAGGAATCGGAGGTGTACTAAGCCAAGAAGGTCACCCTGTGGCTTTCTTCAGCGAAAAGCTCAATGATGCCAAACAAAAGTACTCCACTTATGATAAGGAATTTTATGCGATTGTGAGATCCCTTGAGCATTGGAAGTACTACCTTCTTCCGCAACAATTTGTTCTATACTCTGATCATCAGGCGCTTAGGTTTATCAACTCTCAGCGGCACTTAAATGCTAAACATGCTAAATGGGTTGAGTATATTCAGGGATTCACTTTTGTGGTCAAGCATCGTTCAGGAACAGAAAACATAGTGGCTGATGCCTTGAGCCGTCGGATCAACTTGTTGCACACTATGAGCGTTAGTGTTGTTGGTTTTGAAAACTTGAAGGACGACTATGCTTCATGTCCAGATTTTGGGATAATATACCAAGAAGTTCGCAGTGATAATCGTCATGAGCATGTTGATTTCATCATTAAAGACGGTCATCTCTTTCGTGGGAGCAAACTGTGCATCCCACGTACTTCTATGCGAGATTTTCTTATATGGGAATTACACGCTGGAGGTTTAGCTGGTCATTTCGGGGTTAATAAGACGATGGCATTAGTCGAAGATAGGTTCTACTGGCCTTCACTCAAGCGTGATGTGGCTCGCATAGTGTCTCAATGTCGAAATTGTCAAACTTCTAAAGCCAGGCGACAGAATACCGGTTGGTATACTCCTTTGCCGATTCCCGAGGCACCTTGGAAAGACTTGAGTATGGATTTTGTCTTAGGATTGCCTCGCACAGCTAGAGGTCATGACTCTGTATTAGTTGTTGTGGACAGGTTTTCAAAGATGGCTCACTTTATTCCTTGTAGCAAAACTACAGATGCTTCACATCTGGCAAAGTTGTTCTTCAAGGAGATTGTACGTCTACATGGGTTACCTACCACTATCGTATCTGATAGAGATGTCAAGTTTGTTAGTTACTTTTGGAAGACCCTATGGAAACTTTTTGGTACCCAATTGAAGTTCTCTTCTGCTTTTCACCCTCAAACTGATGGGCAAACTGAAGTCACTAATCGCAGTTTGGGTAATTTGCTTCGGAGTTTAGTTGGAGACAGGCCGAAGAACTGGGATTTGGTTCTACCCACTGCAGAGTTTGCATATAATAATTCAGTGAATAGGTCTACAGGCATGAGTCCCTTCCAAATTGTTCAAGGTTTTAATCCTAAACAGCCTATTGACCTCCTGCCAATCCCGTTGACATTTCGCATTTCTGAATCTGCGGAATCCTTTGCCAATCGCCTTCATGACTTACATGCTGAAATTAGGCGCAAATTAGCGACAAGTAATGATCAATATAAATTATCTGCTAATACTCATCGTCGATTTCAAAGCTTCGAAATAGGTGATTATGTTATGGCTCGCATTCGTCCAGAACGTTACCCTAAACAAGCTTTTAAAAAGTTGCATGCTCGAGCTGCGGGACCTTTTCGCATAATAAAGAAATTAGGACCTAATGCTTATCTTTTAGAACTACCTTCTGATATGGCCATTAGTCCAGTTTTTAATGTAGAGGATCTTATGCCTTACCGGGGAACTTTTGAGCCTTCCCCTTTGCTTTCTGATGATTTTGCAGGTACTCAGCCTTCACAAGTGCCAATTCCATCATTGCCTGCTGTCTCACCATCAGTTGATGAAATCGAGACCATTATGGATGATCAAATGGTCTTTACCTCTGAGGGGCCCATCCGTCGTTATTTGGTTCGTTGGAGAGGTCGATCTGATGAAGATGCCACCTGGATTTCAGAAGATGAATTCCAACAACTTAATCCTGCCTTGCTAGAAGCCTATCAACTCTCTACCTCTCCGGAGGAGAGTTCTTTGCAGCAGGGGAGAATTGATAGAAAATATGGCAAATGTTATTTTAGAAAGAAATAATTGTTTTTGCATTATTTAGTATTTTGTAAGTTTCCTTCTAAAGGAAGGAAACCTGACCTGCTTTTGTTTGTTCTACTCTTTATTTAAATCTGCAAGTTGAGCTTTCCTTATAGGGAAGGAAACCTCAAACTTATATTTTATTTCATTTTATGTTTCCTTCATAAGAAGGAAACCTTAATTGTGGCTTCTATAAAAAGCCACCATGCAGCACATGTAAGGGAGTTCTAAGAGTTGGAATGAATTGCTGTTCTATTCCCCTATCTATCAGTTCTGCGTCCCTCTCCACTTCCCCTGCTTTCTCTGTTTTCTGTCATCTCTCCCCTCTGTTTTCCCTCCCCCTTCACCTCTCACTCTCTGATTCTGTTTCTTTTCCTCATCCTATTCTGTTCAAATCAATGTGAGTGTGTGTGTTTTACATCAATATCTTATCTGCAAATGGAGGAAATGTCAAGAATTTGCTGTATTGATTCAAAGAAGTATGCTTTGTAAGCACGAACGAATCTTTCAAAACTGCTCATTGCCGAGACATGGATATATTTTCTTGTTTTCTTCTCAATGCAGGTGTTACACAAAGCGATGAAAGGTTTGGGGACTAATGATTCCACACTTATAAGGGTGATTGTAACAAGGACTGAGATTGATATGCAGTTTATAAAGGTTGAATATTTGAAGAAATACAAGAAGACGCTGAATGATGCGGTTCATTCGGAGACATCTGGCCACTACAGGGCATTTCTTCTTGCACTTTTGGGTCCCAACCAGTAGAATAGTCAAAACGATCATGATGTTGGTATTGCATGTGGAATCACTTCAAACTCCACTATTTTTCAACGTAGTAATGCTGTAATATGAGTTGTATTCAGTGTTTGTACTTAGAAATATCAGTTTGAGACTTAAGGTGAAATACTGTTGTGAAGTAATGATCTTAGTGCCTTGTAGATCCTTGTTTCCATTATGATGTAATTTGAGTTGTGTAAATTTCATGTACATGTTTCTATCATAACAATGACTTGTAGGAACTAAAAATAAAAATTTCTTTTTTTTCACTCCGTATTACACTCTGAACGTGGCAGATATCAGAATCTTTTATCATTCAAGAGATTTGAGATGGGTGATTTTATTGGAAGGTGAAACTTCAATGAGACGCAGAAAATTTGGCTGTTTTTGTAATAATCGTTTTATTTTTAATTGTAATTGATACAAGTTATTTAAGTTTAGCTGAGCTTTATATATACTATTTTCATATACATTTAATATGAAATTTTCTATTGAAACACAACCACCTAATTTAAATATTTAATTATATAAATTTATAGAAAGCAAACCAGACACTTGCATGCAAAGAAGCATGATAGCGTAGATAAAAGCTTTCTAAACGTTGAGGACGTAACTTCCATCTTTCTTGCAGCTTCGATGTTGAGACTTTGAGAGAGGCGTGACAGAAATGTAATAGAAATACGAAGAGAATTGTGTTTTGGAGAGGAAAATGTCAACGCTAAGCTTACCCCCAGTTCCTCCTTCCCCGAGGGACGATGCTGTACAGCTTCATCGTGCTTTCAAAGGTACTCTTTCTCTGTCTCGGTTTCTCTCCTTTTATGTTTAAATTGTCGTTCACAATGTAATACAATGACCGATGGGTTTCAATATCTGGGAAAAACCTGGTTTTAGACGATGAATATTTTACGGGAAAAAAGGAGTCCAATTTGGACATCTTTGTGTCAATTAGTACCCTAATTTTCATTCTGTGAGATGAATGATACTGCATTGAATCATGTATGCCAGTATCAATGGCCTTCTTAATTAAAGCATGAATCTGGTCGTTGTGAAGGACTCAAAGCCAATATGAATTTCCGGGGGAATCATTCTGAAAAAATGGATTTTGTTGATTCATTCTAAGGCCGTTTTATATTTTTACATTGGATGACAAGCCCCAACAATGGAGTCTGGAAGGAATTCTTTGTTGGCCAGTTTTTACTGACATTTTATATATTAGATTTTGGCGGCTACCAGATAGTTACCGAGATTTCAGTTTCTTTATAGAATTTTGTAACCTCTTCAAAAGTATGTTTTGTTGTTTCTGCATCAACTTGTGTTCTCATCAGCTACAGCTCTTGAAAGAGTCTGAGTCTTATCCCTGCTCATTTTATTAATAGCATAACTATGCTTTTGGCACTTTTAGTTTGGTCCCATAACTTTCTCTCTGCACCATGTTCCACTATCAGCTTGATCTAATATTTCAACCTGGCCAGTTAAAGTGTTCCAAAATGATCCCTGAGTTCTTTTGTGTTTCCAAATGATCTTTGATGGACGTAATGGAAAGGACGAATACGGCATACATTGAAAGCTAAGGGGAAAATAAAACAGATAGAGAGGGAGAAGAAAGTTGAGACCAAGTTGAAACAAATAAATAGTTAACAGACCGAAATGATTGTTAGCCATTATTAATTTGTGCTGTTCTCTTTTCACCCATAATCCTCTTTTTTTTAATTTCATTTTTTTAAATTCCTTGTATTCACAGGTTTTGGATGTGATACTAAAGCTGTTATCGATATACTTGCCCATCGAGATGCTACACAGCGTGCCTATATCCAACATGAATACAGAACTATGTATTCCTCAGAGTTTCTTAAACGTTTATCTTCTGAGCTTAGTGGCAAGTTAGAGGTACTAATATAACAATAGGGTTACTTAGAACTCCATTCTGATTTGATTTGTTGTTTACAACCATTAATCAAGTCATCAATATATATTTTATTTTACTAGATAAAGCCTTTTTTTATTGGCACTTCAGTAACTATTTTTGTGTGAAGAAAAAAAGATAGCAACTGTTTAGTATGGTGTTCAGTTTGGTTTTTCTGATTCTCAGGATGCAGTTTTGCTTTGGATGCATGACCCCGCAGGACGTGATGCAGAAACCATTAGGAGGACATTAGTTGTGGATCAAAACCTTGAAGCTGCTACTGAAGTAATATGTTCAAGAACTCCATCTCAGCTACAATATCTAAGACAGGTTTACTATTCTAAGTTTGGAGTTGTTCTCGAGCAAGACATTGAAATGATGACATCTGGAGATCATAAGAAAGTGAGGCTTCTCTCTGTTCTTGTTTTCTTTGTGGATTTTTAAAATGACACCCCACCCCTTCCAAAATAGCTACACTCACTAAATATGCTCTGGTGGCTGAAAAATCCACGTTTCCTCACGTCATTGCATGGGATTAGAACATTATAGTTTATTATGGCATTCCAGATGGCTTTGAAGTTATGCATGCGTGAGTTCCAAGTGCTTGGATAGTTCTATTAGGCGTTGTTTTTAATATTTGGCTGCTTTATCTATAAAGCACTTAATATCTAAATATCTATAAATTCACTTTCCATGTGGTCCTCATGTTCTGCTCAGTGAATCTCATTGGGTTGTTTTTGGCAGTTGCAAACCCATTTAAATAGGGAGCCCATTATTTTTTGTTCTAGATATTTAGAACAATGAAGATGCTGTAGCTGATACTTTTTGTATAAACGTCGAGTCAGATCTTGCTTGCATATGTAAGCATTCCCCGTTATGAAGGCCCTGAGGTCAGCAAAGAGATAGCTGAGCAGGATGCGAAGGTTCTCCATAAAGCAGGAGAGGAGAGATTTGGAACTAGAATTACCAACCCATGCATTTTCCGGGAAGAAACGTTGTGATAGATAATTATGATATCGTTTCTATTTATACCCATGTTATCTCAGCGTCATAATCTATCAATCACATTATCTGTCTGTCACAATCAAACAATTTTATTTCTCATCCATTGGTATCCAACTTAAACATAACGAGCAAAACACGCAGCTCAAAAAATACTATTTACAAGTCAAGTCACATGATCTGTCTTCCTCCAGAATACATGTATTCTTGGAAATTACATTCGGGTGCTTACCTTCTTCACATCCATTTCAGGCAATAAAGAAAGAAACATCAGGGAATTTCTGTTATGCTCTTTTGACAATAGTCCGATGCGCAGAGAATCCAGGGAAGTTTTTTGCTAAGGTATTTCCCTGCAATTGGAAATCAGTTATTTGCTTCGTATAGTTGTATCATTTAACTGCAATGAGGCTATAGTCTTCGTATTCATTTACAAGTTTTTATGTCAGACCATGGATGAAAGATGCAATAGTGGACTTGTAATAGTATTTGATTATATTACAGAACTTCTAAACTAATTGTATGCTTGTTTTTGCGAGGCAGGGAACATTATAGTTAGGACTGGGCCTATAATAGTCTTTTAGGCCCGTCTAATTTTTTTTCTCGACCAGTTTATTCCCTTGTAGTTTCACTTAAAATGCCATCATCTTAAGCTGTTCTGGTCTAAAGAAGGTTTTTTCACAAGCATGCTGGAACCTTTCAGGACTCGTTATTGCCAAAAAGCAAGAATGTATCCTCTTGTTTTCTTCTCAATGCAGGTATTATATAAGGCTATGAAAGGTTTTGGAACTGATGATTCCAAGCTAATTAGAGTGATTGTAACAAGGGCTGAGGTTGACATGCGGTACATAAAAGCTGAATATGTTAAAAAATACAAAAAGACTCTGAACGATGCAGTTCACTCAGAAACATCTGGCAACTACAGGGCTTTTCTTCTGTCACTTTTGGGTCCCAATCAGTAGATTTGTCTTACATTGAAGTAATTGGGGGAAGAGTTGTATTTTGTGCTTTGTATGTACTACTATGTACATGAAAGTTTTAGTTTGAAACTAGAGATAAGACGGTTTAACTTGAGCTAAATACATTTTTTTCATGTCTTGCACGGAGTTTGAGAAATAAAGTGCATTGATCATAACTTGTAAATTGTATGACTTGACATTTTTATATTATAAAATATGATTTAACTTAATTTGCTGATAGCTATACTTGATGGTGTCATAATATTTCAGTTTTACTGATTATCCCCACTGTACCGTTGGGTTCTTTTAATGTCTTCTCTTCTGAACGCCCTGCCACTTTTGTGGTGAATTAGTGTTTGTATTTTGATACTTCGAGCCTTCGGGCTTGCCCTGCTTATTCCAAAAAAAAATATTTCAGTTTTATTTCATTTCTTGCTATCATTGCAATTAGACTTAAGAAGGTTGATAAGACTAAGCTCACTCCCATCATGTTTGTCTGTATATGCTCACCTGAAGTCCATAAATTGGACATTCCTCCAGCAGCAAGTATGGAGTCTACATTGAAGAAAATGGAATTTGTGAAGGGACAAATGTCTTGGAATTATTGAAAAAAGATGAAGTGACAATCT